TTTTCTGAACCTTTTCTAGTGCCAGTATATCTTTTTTGAGATGAGAAGACCACATCTGTACGCAGTATTCGAGATGTGGGTGTACCATCAATTTATATAAAGCCAATAATATATTCTCTGTCTTATTCTCTATCCCCTATTTAATGATTCCTAACATCAGAGTGTTGCTCTATTAAGATTTCTGAAAGCATGCTCAACACCTCATCCCTCTCAGACTTTGGAAGGCACTTCAGATTCAGGGTCGATTGCTGTAGATAATTTTTAAAAATCTCACATTGGTACCTTCTTTGCGTTTTGTAAAATCTGCAGTGAAAGTGTTCTTATAATGAACATGTGCTAAGTCATCATCTGAGACTACTATAACATGAAATATATGGCAGAATGCACGTAAAATAGAGCCAAGACATACAATTCTCCCCTAGGAGTTCAGTCACAAATTTAATTAACGCATTTTTTTTAAATGAGCGTCATCAGCATGGAAGCACGTCCTCTGGAATGATGGCTGAAGCATGAAGGGGCATATGAATGTTTAGCATATCTGGCAATGTCGGCTACAAAAGTCCCATGTGAATGCCTGTTCTCACTTTCTGGTGACATTGCAAATAAGAAGAGGGCAGCATTATCTCCCATAAATGTGAACAAACTTGTTTGTCTTAGCAATTGGCAGAATGAGAAGTAGGACTGAGTGGACTTGTAGGCTATAAAGCTTTGCGTTGTTTTGTTTTTGAGTGCAGTTATGTAACAAAAATAATCTACATTTGTAAATTGCAGTTTCACGATAAAGAGATTGCACTACAGTACTTGCATGAAGTGAACTGAAAAATACTGGGGGGGGGGTTGTTTATCATTTTACAGTGCAAATATTTGCAATAAAAATAATATGAAGTGAGCAGTGTATACTTTGTATTCTGTGTTGTAATTGAAATCAATATATTTGAAAATGTAGAAAAACATCCAAAATATTTAATAAATTTCAATAGGTATTCTATTCTTTAACAGTACAATTAAAACTGCAATTAATCACAATTAATTTTTAATCATGATTAATTTTTTTGAGTTAATCATGTGAGCTAACTGCAATTAATCGACAGCCCTAGTTTGCAGGGCCTGAAAGACCAGGAAAGTAGGGCTAACCAATTTACACACACTTACATACCCACTTTATTGATCAGGACATGCAAGCCAATGACGACAGACAAAGGGATGGATTTTAAGCAGCAAGCCACAACAGTGTCACACATCACCTCCAGATTGGTGCACATAAGTTAATTCTGCACATGTGTGGGGAAAATTAGAGGGAACACTGTCCCAAAGGGGAAAAATTTCTCCCTGACCCTTAAAACAGATCAAAACTAAAGCAACCTAAAAACCACAATCCCTATACTTGGGATGCAAGAGCCAACTGATTCACATCTCTCTGGCTGGCCAATGGACCATTGGGCAGTGGAGCATCCAGTGGAGGATGATCCTTCTTTTATTCAAAAGCTGGCTGGTGCCTTGTGGCTCCAATCAAGGTGCTGAATGGCAATGTTCACATCATGACTTTATATAGTTGCAAGTTGACATATAAACTAAGCAAAAGTAGTTCTAATACTCATTTTTTGGCATTCTACTAGTCACTGCCCAGTACCCAACATTCCAATATGATAAGTAGCTCAACTCCTGATCACTTCCCATTGATTTCTAGATATCCTGTGTGGTGCTATATCAAAGCCTTCCTGTAATCTAAATCGATTTGCACTACTCCATTTTAATTAGCTGAAAGATTTAAAAGAAGTAATCTACTATTTTTAATTCAGTCAGAGGGATTTCTCCTTTCTGTCTCTGATAAAGTATTTCCAATATATTCTCTTGACACATACAGATCCTCCTTAGTTTGGTTGTAAAATACTTTACGTTAGCTATGTGGTGGATCTGGTTCCAACCCTGCTGATGTGGGTGTCAATATGATAATACATGATCGAAGCTTTGTTGTTTCAGTTTGCTTTTTTTAAGGTCTAGGCAGTTACACACAAAAACTATGTTAAAAGAACATTTTTATGGTCGCAAAGTCAAGCACTTCAGGTTGCCAGTGGCACCTTAATTCAGATTCTTGTGCATACAGGAAGTACATGACCACATACTATTTTCCCAAAGGACCCCTGCCTCATTCAATTAACAGAATGGACCTGCTCTGGTGCTTTGGGGATGAATCCAGCTTGTGTAGTAAAAAACTGTAAAGCTCCTGCTTCATTTATTGCAGAAGTTGGCAAGTTTAGGAAGAGAAAGGTCTCATAGTTAAAGCAGTTTAATGCTGCCCTGGAGAATTTGATTCTATCCCTGCCTCTGCTAGAGTTACTCTGTGATGCTGGGTAACTCACTTAAACCATCTTTTCACTAGTGTATTCCATATTGTCTGGGTGCCTGACTTGAAATCCTGGGGTCTGATTTACAGAAGTGCCAAGCACTCACAGCTGCAATTGCAGTCAATGGGAGCTGTGCTTTTTGAATATGAAGTGCTATATAATGCTAAATTCTCTGAAAGAAATCAGATCCCTAGGCTCCATTGGATGCTCAGTTTGGGCATCCAGAATTAGTGGACACTTTTGAGATTAACCTTTTTGTGCCTCAGTCCCCCGCTATGCAAAACAGAAATACCAACACTCCATCCCCTCACAGGGGTGTTGTGAAAATAAATTCATTAATGCTTGTGAAGCACTCATAGTAGTGAGCATCATAGAAAAGCCCGTGAGGATATTAATAATTCTGTCTTCAGGGTAGCGTTTTAATTCTGTATTAGAAGACCTAGGGCCAGAAATTGATCAATGAGGAGAAAAGAGAATATTGAATATCTGCTTATTAAGTGAGAACTATCCATCTTGTGGACCGAATGAGGCAGGGGTCCTATGGGAAAAAATGGTATGTGATCATGCAATAAAGACTGCATTATAATGCATACACACAAGGTTGGCATTGGCAACCTTAATTCTGGTATTTCCTAACATTTTGGTGCTCAGCCCTTCTACCTTAGTAATGTTCTTTTAATATAGACTTTGTGTGTGATATGTGCAGAGGCTATTAGTTTGTCGTGCAGAATGTTGTAAGGCATTAAAACCAATATTGTAATAAAAATAATTAGCCCTATTGATTTTGCTTTCTCCCCCATGACTGAGTGAAGCCCATAAAGTAAAAACTCTATGTGCATGTAATAGTTCTCCTATTCTCTTGCATGTACTGTATATTTAGACAACACAGAAATGTTACATTCCTCTGCTCAAGTTTTTTCTTCCCTCTCTTTTCCTTGCCATTTACAAATGAGTCCACGTATTCTTCCTCAATTTTAAGTGGTGGTATTATTATACTGGAAATGTAGTGAAAGGTTTGGTGTTCATCATATAACACAAAGGGCAAGATGGCTGCTTGCCTTACACACTTCACAGAAAAGTAAGAGGGCACAGGAGAACCCCCAGTTATTCCCCATTACTGGCCACAGACCCCATGATTCACAGCATGGGGGAGGGAAAGAGGAGGGAAGAGCCTGCAGGGTCAGTACTCCTACTCAGATGGGTGGGGAGTAGACAGTATGGTCGTCAAAAAAATTAACAATGTTAGGAAATATTAGGAAAGGGATAGATAAGAGAAAAAATATAATGCCTCCATATAAATCCATGATACGTCCACATCTTGAATACTGAGTGCAGATCTGGTTGCCCCATCTCAAAAAAGATATACTGGAATTGGAAAAGGTACAGAGAAGAGCAACAAAAATGATCACGGGTATGGAACAGCTTCTGTATGAGGAGAGAGTAAAAAGGCTGGGATTTTTCAGCTTGGAAAAGAGACAACGAAGGGGGCATATGATAAAGGTCTATACAATCTTGACTGGTGTGGAGAAAGTGAATAAGGAAATGTTATTTACTCCTTCACGTAGCACAAGAACTAGGGGTCACCAAATGAAATTAATAGGCAGCAGGTTTAAAACAAAAGGAAGTACTTTTTCACACAATGCACAGTCAATCTGTGGACTCTTTTCCAGAAGATGTTGTGAAAGCCAGAACTATAACAGATATAACAAAAAAGAACTAGATAAGTTCATGGAGACTAGGTCCATCAATGGCTATTAGCCAGGATGGGCAGGGATGCAACACCATCATCTGAGTGTTCCTAGCCTCTGTGTGCCAGAAGCTGGGAATGGACAATAGGGATGGATCACGTGATGACCTGTTCTGTTCATTCCCTCTGAAGCACCTGGCATTGGCCACTGTCGAAAGGATACTGATCTAGTTGGACCATTGGTCTGACCCAGTACAGCTGTTCTTATGCTCTTAGGCAGGCAGGGAGGCAGAGTAGGTGGTACCTTCACTCCACACACACTCTCTTCATCCCACCACAGCTATATCAATGGCAAATTATTTCACCTTGGAAAGATGGAGGTTCCTGGCATACTCCAGCAACAGCGTGCTACACACTGTCCTTTATTCCAGGAGCTTGTGAAGTCACAATCTTGTTCTGTTTTAGAAAGAACTAATTATTTAGAACATGAGAGCAGTTTACTAAATCTCATTAGAAATACTGGTTTAGACACTGATCTGGCTAAATGGGTCAGCAACCCTAACGTTAAAAAACAACCAGATTTGTATTTCCTTTCTTCATCAAGGTTTTCCAACATAAATACTTTAAGAAAAAACAAAGAAAAATATAGTTTACTTAGACTGAAGAGAAAAGTGCTATAGAAAAAAAAGCATCAGCCCAGAAAATCCAGTATCATTTTACAGCTTTGTTTCTGTACTACACTTTTTTTTCCGGTTAATCTTTCAAACAAAATGGTTACAGCTACACTGTAAAGAACAATCAGCAAACACTGAATAAACACTTGACAAATGTACCCTAGAGTTTACAATCCCTGCCATACAAATATGTTTTTCAAATTTCAAGTTTATCTTCTTAGCACTGTCAAATGCTTAAACCATTAAGGGTGCTAGCCTGGAATGTGCAGAGCACATACTGCAGACTGCTGTGTGCCTTCAATTCCCATTGACTCTATAACTGCAGGCAGTTCTGACATCTACTGGAAGCCAAAATTTGTCTTTTCTGAACATTGAGACTGTTAAACATGTAATTTTCCTGAGTTCAATGGCTCACCTCTAAGCAAATGAAATGAATTTATGTGACCCTCATTTTAAATTCACACTGTTAATGGAGCTTAAGACAGATTTGATGGTTAAACTAAACTACTTGAATTCACTTAAAGTGCTGTATATTTTTAATGGAAAAAAAGGGTTCTGCAGTTTTTCTCCTGAAGTTCCTAAGCCCTCGGTTGTGTACACAACAAGACAGTTCTTTTAAAAAGCCATGCCGAAGCTCCTCAGCCAGAAACACTCTTAGGGCGTTTACCAAACCAGGTCTATTCCTTGCCACCCTTTGTATTGAAAACCTATTGAGTCTCTGTGATGGGATCCCCAAGTACAACCTGGAACTGTGGGACTGCTGTGCTCCCTTAACTCTCCAGCCTGAGCAAACACTTAACTTCCTTTTGTCAAGGAACAGAGCTTCTTGGGAGTGGCAGGTTAGAACCCTGCACAGGACTAGTGTAAAGCCCTGCAGCGGGACTGAGTCTCACCAGCCTTGCAGGACCTCTGCCATAATAGTGGAAGTGGGATTAAAGAATAGGTTTGTTTCATTTTCCTTTACAACTGATCCACTTAGATATATTAAGAATAATATAAGTATCTGTTCTCTAAGTGTGATTTTGAAAGTTGATGTTTTCTGAGCCCCATTCTCTAGGAATGCCTGTCAGTCACACACTGCAATATTATTTACCTCGTTATCCACTTCAAATGAAATATACACAGACTCCTGCAACTACCACATGCAGTTCAATTTCAACATAAAATATTTCTATCTATAAACTTATCTATGATTTAGACTATCATGTATAGTTTTCAATTTCTTTTTGTAATCCTCTCCCCCCCGTCCCCAGATTCGAATGCCTGAATCTGCAGCAGTAGTGGAAAAATTGGACATTAATGGAGCTAAATTTTTGGTAAGTAATTAAAATATTTTCTGTTAGAAAATCTTTCACAAGATGTGTCTATGTGAAACTTGTATTCACAACTGCAGGGTCTATTTCATGACTAATGGCATGTTAGTCATTTGTTCTGATCCTGACCTTTGAGACATTTTCAAGGCTTGCTACTGTGAACAAGCAAAACTCAGCCCTGCTACACGTCCTAGCATAGGTGCAACAAATTCCTAGATACCCATCCAAGCATCTGGCTATTGGAAGAGAGGCCACTTATGGAAAGAATCACTTTCCTTTAAATTCTGTAAGACATTTTCTATAGGGATTTTTAAACATCTGATAGAATTAATGCAAACTTATCCCCCTGCTACAGAATTCTAGGGGCTGATTTTACCTCTGATGAACTATTTTCCCATCAGGGTGTGGTCAGACCTCTGAAAGAAGGTAAGCAGGAGGGGAAGAGAAGCACTAGAGGTACTGCTGCTTCCATCCCAGCAGTTATTGAGGTAGAGGCCTCCAAACCCCATGCTGGCTCCTTGAAACACAGAAATGAGGCCCTTTTGTGGAAAATGGGGAGAAAGCTGCTAAAAATATATATTTAAAATATATTTCTACTCCGCAAAGAAATTGTGTCTATATGGCCCTATCTTAAAAACCTGTTCCTCAGTATCTTAGGTGTGATAGCTGCTCACTCTCCTGCTAAGGCTCTGATCCTGTAATGTTATCTGCGTAAGTGGACCCTGCCCCCTGTAGAGTGCCACTGACTCCAATGGGATTGGAACTAACTCCATCTGGACATAAAAGATCTCCCTGCAAGATCAAGAAGTTATTACCAGTTTCTATTAGCACTGCAGAGCTAATACAGCTATGGGAAAGGGAGACTGAGTCTTGGCCAGCTCATGCATTATCAGCAAAATTGTAAAAGGAGTTCCATTTGCAGTCTTTGTTGCTTGATGAGTGACAGTGTTGGGTGGAATCTAAGTGATGCATAAGCCTTGTGTTGGTTCTTTGCAGCTGAATGAATTTTATCCATAGCAAGAAAAAGAAACATGCACATTGCATAGTGTTGGTGGAACGGGACATGAGAAATCTTTTCAGAACTTAATGGTAAATTAATAGGACAAGTGACAAAAAGAAAAAGGAACCATGGGTGAGTTCTGTAAGATCATCCATGAGCGAAAGTAAAACAAAAGTGAAATGAGTGACAGTGAACATCTGCTAGTATCAAGTATCAGAGGGGTAGCCGTGTTAGTCAGAATCTGTAAAAAGCAACAGAGGGGCCTGTGGCACCTTTGAGACTAACAGAAGTATTGGGAGCATAAGCTTTCGTGGGTAAGAACCTCACTTCTTGCATCTGAAGAAGTGAGG